TCATAGCGCGAACAAAAAAGGTATAAAGACTTACAAGAGTCGAATAAAACAGTTTTCACTTTGTTCTAAAAACCAAACCCCTTATCAATAAATGAATGAAGTTTTACGTCCTAATTGTGGGAACCTACTGGGCTAAAGAAGACGGTCGACGTCATGCAGTGAACAATGAGGTAAAGATGTCTAGTATAACGGCACTGTCGAGAGTTCTTTAACGTGCACAACCTATGGCACATGGGACTTATTGTCACATTCGAAGGACTGGACTCTTACAATGGTAATATGTAATAGTTTGAGAAGTGTTGAAAAGGCGATAAATCATATGAGATTATTCTAATTATATATAAACTCTGAGTAATCGTGGGATAGGGTGGTAAATGAAAGATTCGCACAATTTAAATACACATGAAATTTTAAAATATTTATTCCAATCATAAAACCTTCAATTTAAGGGAAAACTGTGGTTAGTTTTCTTTGTTATAGATTTGGTTCTGTTGAAGAGAAGTTTTTTCTGTGGTAGAATAAGTCTAAAATATGATCATAGTCTTGAACATGTGTGTTATATATTCACCAATATACAGATATATTAATGTCTAATGAACCAATATTAATGTCACCTATTATGCTTGTTTTTCGCAGATTTTCCAATTATAAGGTAACGTACCAAAGAAATTCATAACTTCATAAATTCAATCCACCAAAATATTTCACAATTTTCTCACTATACTGTGAAAAAAAAAACAGCACCTTAAATGAATAAATACATGTACGCCATTCGTTTGACCATTCGTACCTTACTTCCTGACTAATTTACCAAACTGCGAATTGACCAAGTACCATTTTTATACGCCCTCATAAAAATGTCCTATCCGTCAGTTCACATTTCCTTGCCTGGTAAGCTATCTTTTCCATGTATTGAAGTTTCGAAACATTGTATTTTACGACATACCTTCTTCACAATGTGACGATTTTATTGGATTGTACGGGTACCGAATGCAACAAATCAGCGACCTCGACAGAAAATCTGGAAACCATAAGCCATAATGTTTGCAATCTCTATCTTTTTTAGTATAGGCCTGCAATCAAATCACTGCATTCTGTGATACAAGAAAGCTGGCTATTGCAATCAAGATATTAGACGAAGTTCGTAATAACTTACTTTGGGGATCCTCTA